TTAGCTTATCAGCTGTTGTTCCAACCGGTCGATAATTCGCTTCGTTGACCCCCTCGGGAGTTTCATTTTCAGCCGCGTTTACGTTTAGCCCCGGCACTTCCTTCAGCCCGTGCGACACGATCACAAGTCCGAAGAACAATATTCGAAAAAAGACGAAGATTCTTTACGTTCAAAGAGGACGAGAGGCGAAGAGTTCGTTGCTCCACGGGTATCGCGCGGCGCAGTGGCGAGAGAGGAACAGTCGCGACGAATCGCCGTTATTACACCCGTAAATAATAAACGAAGTCGGGCGGGCACTTAGCGCGGCGGTAATTTAGACCAGGTTCATCACCGGCGAGGGAATCGACTACCTGTTCGTTCCTCGTTTTTCGCAATTACGCGAACGTGCGATTTCAATATCCGCGTCGCGCCCACCCCGCCTTTAACCAGCTAATCATAGGTGTCCGCGTTGAGCGTCGACTCGCCGATAATTGGCGTCACGAACGCCCGAAGAAGATGATGAACGGGAGCGTCGGTCGAGTCTGAACGAGAAAAAATCGACGAAAACAACCGACAGGAAGAGGGGACGTGTTCCTCCAGCGGGATCAAATTGAAAAGTAATATCGGTATCGGAGTGACATAATTGGCCGTAGCGAGCATCGTCCACCGGGATAATTACAAACTTCGCCCCGGTTTTCTCTCCGGTGCATCGACTTTTAATAATCGCTCGCGGAAACTCGTTAAGATTCCTTCGATTAACGCAACGCGACGTAACCGCGTTTCACCTCTAATTGGCGAAATCGAGGTCTCAATCGAGGGATCGATTCTCCGGTTGGTATTAAAACCGCTGAAAATTAAACGTGACACGGGAACAAATTGTACGACGCTGAGGGCCGCGCCGTCGTCGGTCTCCGACGGTCACTAAACTCGAGATCTTCCTCGGGGGCCGTGAACGCTTGTACGACCGATCGTTCCGACCTGCTCAGATTAATTCCTGGGAACCTTTTAACGCGATTTCGGCTATCCTTTACGGCCAGCCGTATCGTGTAGGTATTACAGTGACATACGGACGTCGCTTAAGTTAATAGTCGACGCGTTAACACGGCGCTGGCGTCATAAAAGAAAGAGAATCCGCCCACGCCTCGGCGCCTTACCCAGCGGAACAGAGAAAAATATAAATCCTCTTCGACGAGATATAATCGAAGGTATATAGCGGGAATTATTATACTAAACGAGGTGGCACGGACCGGGTGCCAAGACACCGAGTATTATCCCATTAGAATAAATGCAAAGTAGAGCTGTGCCTTCTCCTATCTCGATATACCTGACCCTCCTTTCTCCTCTCGTTCGTTCTCGGTCTTCGTCTCGCGACGCGACGCTCCTTCTTTCTCTGCGTTCGACACAGACCAGTCTGGCTCGGTGCAAAGGGTGGAAAATGGGTGGCAGTCGGAGAGCGGCTGGGCGCATTTACATGATATGAATATAATGGAGAGGGCCGGGTCGTCGGGCTACGAGAGAGAGAGAGGAGCGCTACCTGTTGAACCAAGAGTTCAAACCCCACGGTGGTGACCTACAAGATATATTCGACCGAGCCGGGCCTGGACCGGCGCCTTCGAGGTCACTCGTGGACCCTTTCATTCAGGCCTCCTCCCGTCCGATCGTTAAACCCGAGACTCTTTCCTCTTCTTTTTTACTCGAAGAAAATCAACCTTTCATTTCTTACAAGTGTGTCGTAAACCTTGCCTACGTGCATTCTCGGAATTTTTATTTCCAATCACTGTTTCACGCGCTTATAGAAAAACTGGATGTGCAGAAAACACGAAGAATGTAATGTGAAAAAGTGTATGTGCAACATTAGTTTCGACTGGCAAATGAAATATTCAATTTATCAAACTGTTCCGTGGAAGACAAATTCTGGAATTAACAGCATTTTGAATCGCGCAAGGGGAGAAGGAATTCCGCGAGAAAAATCAAAGAGGAAATGTCACCTGTCCAATTAAGGACCACTCTCGTATCTGTCCGCGCGATCTCCTTGATACGCGCGCGCGCGCGCGGCCAGGATTCATTCTATATACGAATCCAAGGCGAACATCGTTACCGGGCATAAATATGTATAGGACGGAGGAACGCGTGTGTCATTCGAAGTCGGCAGGACTCCGGATGCTTTCTTCCCTTTTCCTTCGTTTTATCGAATAATCGCCGATAGATTATGCGTTCATTGAAACGACGTGGGCACGCGTTCGCGCATTTCAATACCGACGGCGCCTCTCACCGCTTCGAAAATGAAAATTATTCAAGGATCACAATGAAACGAATCACGACGTAACCTTCCATTATTCTTTCCTATTACTACGTTTTGACGGAATCATGCAACTCGTTTACGGAACAGAGCCGGGCGTTATAGTTTCACTTGAAGATCATTTCGTGGCAGAATGCTTTTCAACCGAGAGGCCTGCGAGATAAAGGACAAGGGAATAAGGAGGAGCCCCCGGCGACTCGAGGAGTCGAACAGAAACTGAGAGAAGCGCAAAGGCAATATAAAGGGCCAATAAAATCACGATGGTTAACAATACGGCCAGACATTCTCACTACCTTTCCTTTACCACCCGCGGACCCTCTGCCAATTTTATTTACCAGGGAACCGTAACAAGTTCACTGATTTTTACATCCTCGCCTGAATCTCTAGAAATTAAATAGAAATTCGTTTTTTTATATATACGATTTTTCTACAAATGTTTGGAAGCTGCGACCGACTCATTGCTATTTAGTTTTATTTTGTATCGCGAAAAAGATAAGACGAGACGAAGCTGATCGCACGAATATTCATGAAGCTTGAAAAGTAACGGAGAGCAGGAAGATCTGAAGTTGCAAACGAGGCAGTGTATCGCGGCCGAAATAAATTCGTGAAGCCGATTGTCTCATCGGGCCGAAACCAGTAGTCGTACAAAGGAGAGAACAGAGACCGGACGACCGGAGCGATTCGCGAGGCGCGATTAATTTCAATTCTCGTCGCACTCGGCCGCTTCCTACGAGACGACGAGCACCGATTCCGATGAATCCTGTTGGACGCGAGGCGCCGACCGCGCGGGCAAATTCAATGACAAAAAAAATATACGAACGCGACGGGGGGAGAGAAATGATTCGGGGAATAAAATCTCGACGCGCGTTTGTCTATTCGAAAGTTCGTTCGGTAAACTTGATTCCCGGTCCTGTATCGACACCAGCGAGCCATTAAAACGATATACGACCGGCAGTTCTTGCTGTTTAAGGCGGGAACGAGCGAGAATCGCGACCGAGAAGAACGCATTCCTTCGAAACGAGAGGTTGCAATTTACTTCTGCCGCGATCTGGAATTTCGCTCGAAATCGCGAGTCTCTCCACCTTTCATTAACATGCGACGCGTACACCGTGGACATTCCGGGCCGAGATCTCCTTTTTTTCATATCGCCACGGGAAGAAAAAACCCGTCCGCGCTCATGCACCTTCTCCCGTATTTCCGTTAATTGCCGCGATTGAGAAAGCCCCGGCTCTCCCGATAGATCGTTATTAACCGTGGCCGATGGTAATTACTTTCGACTAATAACTCGCGATTTCGCAGACAACCGCGCGCTTCTACGTGCCATCAAGCCTGCCAGGGTTTATTAAACGAGTCTTCTGGGGTCAAAGGGAAAACGCGAATATCCCCGTGAGGGGTTCTATCTGAATAGATCGTATCAAATGTTTTGCAAGAGTAATTATATAAAAAGGACTTATAACAAGTTCGCATCAGTGAAACTCTACCATGAAATTGACTGATAAATTGCGGAGTTCATAGAATATTTATAAAAAACAGAAATGTTATCTCTAAAAAATCAATACTAAAAGGATAGAACAAATTACTAAATTGATAATATCAATTTTACGTAACAATCTGCTTTCTACGAACAACTCGTTCGACTTACTTAATAACTATCAATTAAATTCTATAGTTTAACTCGGGCGTTGTTATTCCCGTTTCGAGAACGTGAGATCAAAGCAGCAAATGCCTTAAGAAAAACGAGCACGACACCCTTTGGTAAGCATTGTTCACCGCGGACCTGCGATTGTTCGCCGAAACGCAACCCCTAACCACCTTTTGAGAGCTCGATGGATGCAAGAACAAGCGAAATTGTACGCCAGTTGTCGGACCAGTTCTTTTTTTCAGTTCGTTCATTCCCGGGGTGTAAAAAGCGACGCTTAAACAAAGGATACCCAGCCAGTGAATGGTCGCTCGTGCGCAGGTACGTGCGAGCCCGTGAATAAAATAGTCGTCAACAGTTTGCAATCATAGCAGAGCACGTGCAATTCGGAGCGACGATATGATCCACTGTCCTTGTAGCTTTGAAGTCCGAGATTTTTTGTTATGTTAAAAAACTTTCACGAGAAAACTCGTGCTCGCAAAAAATGAATAGAAATATTGTGTTTGCGTTAGGGAGTTTGCGTTATGTAGGCATGTTTTTTTTTTTATATTAGTTTACTTGGCTTAAGAAAACTTGCAAGGGATATTGAAGTCGAGCCGATGAAGAAAGGATTGAGAGAAATCGTGTACGCGAGGATATTCCGTGTGGCGAGCGTGCAGTAAGTACGTCTTGTTCACGATAAAGCCTGTTCCCGATCGAGGGAACGAACGTCCGACCGAAGAAGGCGTCACGTAAACGGTAGCCAAGACCGTGGACAATTACAGATAGCCAGGGGGAAACAATGAGAGGTACGGTAAGAACGAGAGGCCGTAAATCAGCGCCGGAAACAGGTGGACGCAACGCGATCGCGAGTAAATACTATTGTCGCAAATGAACTGACCGAATTTTTAAACAAGGAGACGGTAGATTCGATTTATTCTGCCTACACTTTCGCAAATAAATTGATTCCATAATTCGACGAGGTGAAATTGAAGTAAATTTCAATAAATAATTGTTAATTAATAATGGCTTAAAAAATTTTACACATACTCGGTCGTTTCAATTTGTGTATGTAAGAGTTAATAAAGGGATTGAATAACTGACCTTGCAAAGAAAGCCGCGGCTGCGCTGGCCTGCGCGGGCGTCCCCGGCACTCCGCTCACGTTGTACGAGTACTTGGTCTCCTGGTACACCTGATACGCGTTCTGCGGCTTCGAATGCGACGATCTGTGATAATAGTGGTCCGCGTAGACGCTCTTCTCGGAAGGACGTTCGACCTTCGACAGGCCGTAACTCTGCATGGCTGCCGCCGAGGACGACGAGGAGGTCTTCGAGTGACACTTGTCGTGACCGTTCTTGTCCGCGTGCGACTTCTCGTGGGTGGACGCCGGCTTGTCTATGGTCCCGTACGACTTGAAGTCGTAGCCCTTCAGTTCGCCGTAGTACTTGATGTTCTCGACCTTGAACCCGTGCCCGTCGTGGCCCTTAGACCCCTTCCCAGTCTCGTGTTTGTAACCGAGCTGCTCCTGGGCGGACGATTTCATCCTGTCGCACTTGACCTCGTGCGCCTTCGCCGACGGCTTCTCGATCTTCAGCATCGATCTGTCGCACAGGCGACCTTGCACCGCCTCGCTGGCCTTCAACAGGGAGTCCACGGTGCCCTTGTACCTGTCGCAGTTCGACGGATCGCACGGAACACCGGGAGCACCGTGGCAAACATTACCAGAAACGGGACCACTGCTACCACCACTGGTACCACCGATACCGGAAGACCGAGGATGATGATGGGACTTGGACGAGTCCGCGTGACATCTCGACGCGGTCGCTGTCACTTCGGAATCCTCGCTACCATCCTGATACGCGTCCTCTTTGCTCGCACCGTTATTATTGTTGCCCGGGAAACGCGTGTCACACGTCTTGTAAGCTAACCGCGATCGCGACGAGGGACCCCGTGTTGCTTCTCGCGCGGTTGGCGTGATACTGGCCAGATTAGAGGGCGTCTCGGCGCCATGAGTGCCGCCGGTTCCCCTGCTCGAGTTGCCACCACCACCGACGCTCCCTCCTCCTCCTCCTCCTCCTCCTTGCCGTTTACCCCTCTCCTCCTATTATGCAATTGATAACGTTAACGCGTGAACAATTGATAACGTTAATCGTCCTCAACAGGCACGTGTCCCTCTTCCTCGATTCGAGGAATCGGGAGAACGGACGCGATTATACAAAGGATACTCGATCGCATGGAGAAGGATTTTATTAAGTAATAGGGAAAAGTACTCAGGAAATATCGTCTCGTGAATAAGCACTCACCTGAACGCGTTTGTAGTCTTCCTGGCGTTTAGCCACCTCGGAGTACTTGGGTGGAGGCTCAGACTTCGGTGGCGTCTCCTGGTACTTCGGCGGTCTGTCGAACTGTCTGTACTTGGGCGGATCTATGTAAGGGTTGTTCTGATGCCGGTAATAATTCGGCAACTGGCACTCGGTCAGGTCAGACTGGGACCTGTTTAATTGATAGTTCGGTGGAGCAGTCGCCTTCGGTTCCTGATGCTTCAAATGCTTCCCCTGTATCAGTTTCTCCTGGATCGCTCCGTACGTTTTCTCTCGTTTCTCCTTGCACTCGAATTTGCCATCTTTCATCTTCTCTTGTGTGGGTCCGTCGATCTCGTAGAACGTCAGCTCCTTTTTACCCTGGCTCTTCTCCAACGCGGAACGATGCGGTTTCGAGTGATGCTGATCCACCTTGATCGGTGGATCGATCTCGTAAAAGGTCAACTCTCGCGAGTCCTGCGACTTCGACCGGGTCTCGTGCGTCGAGTGGTGTTGTCGTTCCGGTTGAGAGTGGCTCCTCACGTACCTCTGATCAATCTTGCCACCGTCTTGGTGCCGCGAAGACGAGGACAGCCTGGCGAACTTCTCGTTCGGTCCGAGCCTGACCGAGTTCCGGCCGTACTCGAGGTACTCGTCGCCGTACTTGAACACCTGCCGGGGTTTGTACTTCTCCTCGAACTGCGAGTAGTTGTACGTGTTGAAGCCGACCTGGTTAAAGTTACGGCTGAGGTTCGGCGAATCGTAATCGGTCGACGTCACTGCCTCCATGTTTATCTGAAACAGATCAGTGAGAATTGTCACACGAAGTTTTATCATAAACACATAAAGTATGAGAATATTATCCGAGAAAGGAATATAAGTGATAATGACAGTGTTGAACAGTCAGATGAAGAAGGATTGGTAGTGTTATTTTCATGTAAATAAATGAACCAAATATTTTTACTAATAACAAATTATTTCAGTTTTTATGTCTCTCTAAAAATTAAATTGACTGTCTGTAAATGAATTCCAGTTCGAAGGGTTAATAAACGTCCTTGTTTCTACTCAGTTAAGCATAATTCCGGTATCAACTGAACATACAGAAATGATGCATAAATTAAAATTTATGATGAACGACACTTTCCCACATGGAATTTAATATACATTTAGATCAGACACAAAATCATTTACAATCAATTTTTCTAGTATTTATTTTATATGTATATTGTATTAAAATTATGGAGAAATACGACGGTGAGTAGAAATTGGGGCATTTACGTAATGTTGACAATAACGGTAAAATTTCATTTTACACCGAGTTGTTAATAAATCTGCCTGCAGATCAAACGCGAAGAGGTCCATAGCGGAGCGGAGTCAAGAGCGCTCGAGACGTGGCAAAGGAACAAGAGGAGGAACTCGAGCCAGGACCATAAATCGGGGAACGTCTTACTCCTAAATGCCCGGGGTATTTACCGTGAAACAAAAAGCCACGGGGCGATAAATAAAATCTGACACCGAGGGGGCGTTTCCTCTTTCGCGTCTACCTCTGTTTCGCGGATAAAGCGTCCCGCCGGCCTCCGGTCCCGAAAAGAAAAGCTGTAGAGGGTTCCGGGTCTCGGCGTTCGGGCCACGAAATTCCACGTCGAAAATCGAGTCGCGGTTGAGGAACCGGTTCGCGCCTTCGGTGCCCGAAGGCCAATCGATCCACGCCCGTGTGCGTGAGCGTGTGCGTGCGCTCGTCGCGAGACCCGCTTTCACGATGAGATCGCGCCCGTGTTCTGTTATTTTCTTTTTGGTTCTTTCGCTCTTCCGAGCCCTTATTCCGGAATACGCCGCGAGGCACTGGCCGACGATGCGAGATCGCGATTCGACTCAGGGACCCGCCGCTTCCGCTGAGATTGCGCGCTGCAACAATCGCGATCCTCGCTGACTAATACCGCGAATTAAAATTCGAATTAAGAATTCGAGTAGTGCAAGTCTTGAAGAAAGGACGGTGAGGTAGCAAACCTCGAGGGCATTAGAGGGAAATATCGGTCGATTGTTCCTCCGGTAATCGTCCCTTTCTAGGAGGCCTTTTGACCCGAAATCAGATTCCGCTGATCGAAGCTCGACCAGAGAGTCTGCCGGGTCACCGGGTATATCGGACTTCATAACTCCTCGGAGAAGATCGAGAGTGGTACCCTCGGGGTCCTCTCGGGGTTGTATATTACCTCGGCTGTAATGAAGACTCCAACGGCAGCGAAGCTACCGAGAGAGGAACCACGGCCTTGTTTATCGCCTCGCCTCAAATATACAATTAACATGTTGAAAAGACGCCCGGCAGGAGCCGTCGGAATCGCGAAGCCGCCGCCGCCGCTCCCCGCACCGACAAAGAGAAGGGGTTGCACGAGGTCTCGTTACGTCTCGCACGGCTCGTTAAAGCGTGTCTGGATCCTTAACCCACAATCCCTTTTCTTATCCCCGAAGCCATCTTTCTTCGTGTCCTCCGAAATTACCGAGGACCGCGACTGGCGAACGAGAGTTACGCAATTACCGCTCGTTCTTTTTTCTCTCGCAAGAAATAAGCGCGCTTCGCGTCGGTGTTTATCGGCGAGAAGGATCGAACCGTTTTCGAGGCGCGTGAAACTGGGTCCGAGTACAACTTTTCGCGGCCGAACCCGACATTATTAAATATAATTAAAGAGAAAGGCCGTCCAAGAAGCCCGGAGCGAGCTCGACGATTTTCTTTCAATTACATTCATCCGGCGAGAATAATAATTCGCGAGGAAATTCATCTCGAATCTTGATCGAACGGTACAACGTACGAGTCACTTAAACGCTTCTCTAAGGAAATTAGAAAATAGAGCAAATCTAATGAGCACAACTGCTCCCATCGAAGCAGATCTCTTAGAGGAAAAACAGATCTGTGAAGGCTAACACTGGCAATGGGGAATAGAACGTTTGACCTCAGGTCACTCTTCCTGTACTAGAATAAATAAAATCCCTTACCGAACTCTCGATTTTTAACGCGCCTTATTCAGATTTTAATCAAAATATAATTTTACAATTCTATTATGTTGGCTAGAAAGTAATTTCGATTTTTCAATGTTAAATAAATCTCATCTGTGAAAATTAAACTAACAACTATAAATAAATTCCTAATCTTAAATTGCTATACTAGTCAGTTCCTTTGCCTGGCCTCCTCCAGTTCTATTGTTTCGCAACGAGGACTCAGGTGAACAGTGTCACTTCCTAATACATTGTATATAGATTAAGTGAACAGCTGCTTATCTATTTGTGAAAACTGTAAGTATTCTCTCGCCAACCCAATACATTGTACAGATGAAGATAGCATATAGTTGATACTTTATCAGTTTTCTGCGACGAACTGTACGAGGTGAAAACGCGCGGCGTAAGGCGAACCGGAAGTCCATCGCAAATGAGAGCCAGGCCAGGCGGTCGATCATTTTCACAGCTCGGATTTGAACGCGTGTCCCGCCGCGGTGCGGTGCGTTCGGCTGCGCGATATTGATAGTCCGTCGCGTCAGAGTTTCTCATTTATCTTCATCGTTCAATTTCCCGTGTACACGTGCTCGATCGTCCGCTCGCCAGGAATAAAACAAGGCTACCGTGTTTTCTAAAGTACACCGGCGCGGAGCGATAGTCTTCTTTGCGAACGTTATATCCCGTGCGCCGACGTCGGATATTGCGTCGGCCGAGAAAGCCGTAGATAGTTTCGACAATATTTTTTTTCTCCGTATTCGACTATTTATCATCGCGCTCGGCGTAATCCGTCCGGTAATTAATGGATCCGGCTGTGTGCTCCGCGAGTTTACGGCACTTTTAATAGTCGGATTGCGACGCAACCTCTTTTGCAGTGCATCAGTCTTTGACATTATTAACGAGGAGCATCGATACGCGATATTGACCATCAATCACGGAGAAAATGTTCAACATAATCTTTAGGTTCCCTCGATATTTAAGGTTCTATGAGCCGTAAGATCTCTGCCAAAGTTTAAGACATGCAATAAAAAGCTGTGTCCAATATTTGAAACAATGGACTTTTACAAAAATGATAATTACAGAAAATTA